AGGAAAGGGAGGAAGAGGAGGAGGAGGAGGAGGAGGCCTTCTCCCCCCCGCCTCCGCGGGTGCTCCTTGCTCCGTCGTCGTGTCGTCCATCTTCCGCTTCGTTACTCGTCGCTGCTGGGGTGTGGCGTGTGCGGCCTAGCTGTGGCTGTATACGGGCGCTCTGTGGCAGACGGACTTGCGCTCACGGTGGCCACCTGAGAGCTGGCGGGGGCGCCAGACCCGCGGCCAGAGAGCAGGAGGGAGGAAGGAAGGCAGGAGGGAGGAGGGAGGGAGGAGGAGGAGAAGGATGGAAGGTGGGAGGGAGGGAGGGAGGGAGGGAAGGAGGAGGGGAGGGAGCGGAAGGAGGAGGGAGAGGGGAGGAGGAGGAGGAGAGTAGGTGGAAGAGGAGGAGGAGGAGGAGGAGAAGGAGGAGGAGGAGGAGGAGGAGGAGGAGGAATGGAGGAGGAAGGAACAGGGAGGAGGAGGAGGAGGAGAGGAGGAGGATGGAGGGAGGGAGGGAGGGAGGGAGGGAGGGAGGGAGGGAGGGAGGAAGGGGCGGTCGGCGCTGTCCAGCAGCGCTGTGCAGTGCCCAGCAGAGGGGCGCAGAAACCGTCTCGCCCTCTGCTGCCTCCTGGCCCGCCTCAGCCCTCTCCTTTTCCAGCTCCGGGGGGGGAGGATGGAGGAGGAGAAGGAGGAAGAGGAGGAGGAGGAGGAGGAGAGAGGAGAAGGAGGGGGAGGAGAGTAGAAGGAGGAGGAGGAGGAGGAGGAGGAGGAGGAGGAGGAGGGAGAAGATGAGGAGAAGAGGAGGAGGAGGGAGAGGGGAGAGGTAGGAGGAGGAGGAGGAGGAGGAGGAGGAGGAGGAGGAGGAGGGGGAGGAGGAAAAGGGTTGAAGAGGAGGAGGAGGAGGAGGAGGAAAAGGGTGAGAGGAGGAGGAGGAGGAAGAGGAGGAGGAGGAGTGAAGGAGGAGGGAGGAGGAGGCGGCGGGACGGTCTGAAACGCTTGGGCGAGACGGAGGGGCCGAGCTACATCCAATGACGCGGGTGCACCCCCGGTCAGGCGCCGAAGCTTCTGATCTGACATGCGCCCGCATCGATACAGGCCTCACTTGACCACTCCAAGCGAGTGTGGGGGGTGAAGGGAGGAAGGGACTGAAACAGCATAAGTTGGAGGAGGAGGAGGAGGAGGAGGAGGAGGAGGAGGAGGAGGAGGAGGGGGAGGGGGAGGAGGAGGAGGAGGAGGAGGAGGAGGAGAAGGAGGAGGAGGAGGAGGAGGAGGAGGTGGAGGAGGTGGAGGAGGGATGCGGAGGGGAGGAGGGGAGGGAGGAGGAGAAGGAGGAGGAGGAGGAGGAAGGAGGAAGGAGAGGAGGAGGAAGGAGGGGAGGGGAGGGAGGAAGAGGAAGGAGGAAGGAGGAGGGAAGGAGGAGGAGGGAGGAGGAGGAGGGGAGGAAGGAGGAGGAGGAAGGAGGAGGAGGAGGGAAGGAGGAAGGGGAAGGGAAGGAGGAAGGAGGAGGAAGGACGAAGGAGGAAGGAGGAAGGAGGAAGGAGGAAGGAGGAAGGAGGAAGGAGGAGGAGGAGGAGGAGGAGGAGGAGGAGGAGGAGGAGGAGGAGGAGGAGAGGGAGGAGGAGGAAATAGAAGACGAGGAGGGAGGAGGGAGGAGGAAAAAGTAGAGAATGAAGGGGAAAGAGGAGGAGGAGGAGGGAGAAGTGAGGAGGAGGACCATGTGAGCTACGACGGCCACCAGCAGAGCTGCGAGGGCCTCCGGCAGAGCCCCGTGTGAGCCACGAAGGCTACCGCGCTGTTGAGAAGACGAACGGGCACTTCGTCCACACCATCAAGCACACAAAAACGTAATGTATTGTCGTAATGCAATGCAATGCAAGCCTTGCATTGCATTCGTGCACTTGTAATGCAATGTCCAGCAATAGCCACGAAGGCTACGAGCGCTACCGACAAGGCACGCCATGCACAGCGCTACGTGCAAGGCGCTACGTCCACGGTGACCGCAAGGGCTCACACTTCGCAGCCCCCCAGGGATGGCGAGGTCCTTTAGGGGGGGTCTGCGTGTGGCCGCTCTGTGCGGGCTCCCCCAGCAGCCCTCGAAAGTGGCGACAATGTCACACTTCGCAGCCCCCCAGGGATGGCAAGGTCTTTGGGGATCTGCGTGTGGCCGCACTGTGCGGGCTCCCCCAGCAGCCCTCGAAAAGTGACGACAATGTCACACTTCGCAGCCCCCCCCACCAGGGATGGCGAGGTCCCGTTTGGATCTGCGTGGGACGCCACTGTGCGGGCCCCAGCAGCCCTCCGAAGTGGCGACAATGTCACACTTCGCAGCCCCGCAGGGATGGCGAGGTCCCGTTTGGATCTGCGTTTGACCCCACTGTGCTGCCCCCATCAGCCCTCGAAAGTGGCGACAATGTCACACTTCGCAGCCCCCCCAGGGATGGCGAGATCGGGTTTGGGTCTGCGTGTGGCCCCACTGTGCGGGCTCCCCCAGCAGCCCTCGAAAGTGGCAACAGTGTCACATCTCGCAGCCCCTCAGGGATGGCGAGGTCCGTCCCGTTTGGATCTGCGTGACCCGACTTTGCGGGCTCCCCCAGCAGCCCTAAAAAGTGGCGACGGCTTCACATTTCGCAGCTCCCAGGGATGGAGATCTTTTTGTTGGTCGGCGTGGGGCGCCACTGTGCGGGCTTTTCCAGCAGCCCTCGAAAGTGACGACAATGTCGCACTTCGCAGCCCCCAGGGATGGCGAGGTCCCGTCTGGATCTGCGTTTGACCCCACTGTGCTGCCCCACCAAGCAGCCCTCGGAAGTGGCGACAGTTTCACACTTCGCAACCCCACCCTCAGGGATGGCGAGGTCTTTTGTTGGATCTGCGTTTGACCCCAGCGTGCTGCTCCACTCAGCAGCCCTCGAAAGTGGCGACAGTGTCACACTGCGCAGCTCCCCAGGGATGGCGAGGTCTGTTGTTGGGTCTGCGTGCGGGCCCACTGTGCGGGCTCCCCCAGCAGCCCTCGAAAGTGGCGGCAGCTTCACACTTCGCAGCCCCCAAGAGGGATGCGAGAGGAGAGCGCCGAGAGAAGAGCGGGGGGGGAACGAGGAGGAGGAGGATGAGGAGGAGGAGGAGGAGGAGGGGAGAAGGTGGAGACCCCACTGGTCTAATCAAAACGAGCACCCACCCAAGGGATGGTTGGGAAAAAACAAACAAACCTGGATCCTCAAGTCCTCGAATTTCGAGCCTGGAGCCAAGGCAGTCCGCGGCGACAGCACAACCGAAAGCTGACCAAACCGACAGCGAAACCAAAGCCGACCGAAACCGACACGCCGAAAACGGCTTAGAAGAGCGCCGCTGCGCAACAACCGACCGAACCGAACCGGCCGAATGCAGCCGACTGCGACGCAGCCGACCGAACCGAGTCGCGGACACCCTTAGAGCCACGGCCGCGCCCCGCCTTGCTCACGAGGGCGCACACCGCGGCCTCGCAGTCGGCGCTGCTGGGCCGAGGCTCCGCGGCCTCGCTGGTGGCGGCCTCGCCGACGGCGACGGCGACGAAGCGGCGGCGGCGGCGACTGAGACTGAGACGGCGCCGGCGACAGCGACGGTGGCAGCGGCGGCCACTGCAGCGGCCACGGCGGCGGCGGCGGCAACTGCGGCGAGGAAGACGTCGACAGCGGCAGCGGCGGCGAGGTGTGCGTGCGCCCACGCCGCGGCCTCGTCGCAGTCGCCGCCGCAAGGCCCGGGCTCTGCGGGCTCTGCGGCGGGCTCCGCGCCCTCGGCGGCGGGCTCCGCCGCACCTCGGGGAGGAGCTGCACCCGGCGTCCCTCACTGAGGAGGAGCTGCACCCGGCGTCCCTCACTGGATAGGGGGAGGACATCGACCTGGAATCGGCGATACATCGCCGATGGATCGGCGATAGGCCTCCGATAGTGAAGCCGCAGCTTCCTGAGCACCTTGGGGCCATCGGGCCCCCATCGGCGATCAATGGGCGATTGGGGGTCGATGCCTTCCCCCGTATGCCCATCCCCCCCATCGTTGCCCCCGAGTCACGTCCACCGCCGCCGCAGCCGCCGCCCCGGCCGTCGCTGCCGTCGCGGCCACCACGACCGCCGCCGCCGCCACGGCCGCCACGGCGCCTGAGACAGGCGGCGCGGGCGGGGCGACGGGGCCGGGGCCGCCGAGGCCGCCCGCCGGCGCCGCGAGCGCGGCGCCGGCGCCGCGAGCGCGGCGGCGAGCGCGGCGGCGGCGGCGTCGAGGCGGAGCGCCTCGGCTCGCCACGCGCGGGCGGCGGGCGCGGCGGCGCGGGCGGGCGCCTGACGCCCTCCGCGGGCGGAGCGCCCTCGGCTCGGCGATGGCCGGCGGGCTGCTCGAGTGAGCGACGAAGATAAGCAGGTCTTACAGTCGGACCCAGGACAGTACAGCATCCCTCAAGAACATGAACATGAGACCCCCGCCCGCCCAAGCTGAAGAATATTCGCCCTCCCCCACCAGAACATCCAGCAGGCACGAAGAACACGAGGGCACCCTCCCCGAACCGGCCTCGAGCTTACACCTCGGTCCGACTGCAAGCGAGAGAACACAGCGGCCTTACGCCGCGGCTGACGCGGGCCGCCAGCGTGGCACACCGCGTGAGGAGCAGGGCGCGGAAGCGCGACGGTACGCGGGCAGCTCACGCGCGAATGCCTGCGGGAGGCGGAGGAGGAAGAGGATGAGGACCAGTGTAAACCCAAGAGTTATCAAAGACGTTGGAATGAACCCTCCCTCCACGCTCCCTCTTCGTAGGCCCCTACAACGGTTCATTTCCATTGAGGGAACTGCCTCGTTAGAAGACAACCGTTTGAAGATCCTGAAGCGTGCCAAAACATTGCTCTCGGGATTTCAACGCCACGTATCAATTCGACTGCTGCGTCTTGACGATCCAGAATCGTGCCAAAACGCCGTTGTCATTCTGGTACGCTGATCATGGGAATCCGTGAAACTCTTGCAAATGTTTGAAACGAATGTGCGCGGCGCTAAAGCGAGAGCCACATGTTGAAAAGGAACCGCCCTCAATCCGTGAAACTCTTGCAAATGTTCGAAACACATGTGCGCGGCGCTAAGGCGAGAGCCACATTTCGAACACGGGCCGCCCTCAATCCGTGAAACTCTTGCACATGTTAAAACAAACGTGTGCGGCGCTAAGGCGAGAGCCACATTTTGAAAGCGGCCCGCCCTCCATCTGTGAAGCTGCTGCCACTGTTTTCAGCTTCAGAGTCATGAGTGGTGAGGACGTCCCCGGCGAAACGCCCGGCCCGCCCCAAAAACTGGCCTCGGGGTCCTGCAGGGAGATGCTATCTGTAAGGGAAAGGAATGGAGGAGGAGGAGGCGGAGGGGGAGGAGGAGGAAGCCACTGAACCCCGCTTAGCTGCGTCGCTCAAAGTGGCTCACCCGGGCGGGGGGCGCGCGGCTCGGCCGCGGCGCGCGCCGAGAGGGGGCGGTCCCCGGAGGCCCCGCCTCGGGGGGCAGTCTCGGAGGCATCTCGGGGCCGACCTCGGCCCTGGGCCCCCTGGAGGCCCGCTGGGCCCGCGGAGGGGGGGGAGGGGGGGGGGCACGGGCAGGACGGCGGCGTCCCTGGGCCCCCTCGCCGAGGCGCGCTCGGCCCGAAAGAGGAGAAGGGCGCCCCAGACATCCAGCGGATCGACGTGTCCCGTCTCGGCGCTCTCTCTCCCTCTCTCTCTCTCTCTCTCTCGATGTCGGCCTCTCTGGGAGCCGTCCTTGGCTGGGGCGAAGCACTGACCCCGTGGGACGGGCGTCGCGTCGGGGGCGGGGGCGAAGAAACCCGCACCTTTCGTGCCCCTTCTGGGCCCTAGGGGGGGCCCTTTCACCACCCCCCATCCTCCCGTGCTGATATCGCCCCCCTGAGATGGAACCTCGTACGTTTTTCGACCACCGATGATCACAACAGCAGCAACAGCAACAACAAAAACAGAACGCACCGCCCGAGTGCTACAGTCGGATTCGACTGGACAGGACACACGAGAGGACACAAGACCCTTCCGAGGGCCACATTGCCACAGGAATTTAGGAAGCATGGGTCGCGAGACACAGGACACAAAAGTACCTTTGATTCGGCAGGGTCGACCTGCTAACTCGGGAGCGGCCAAGAGGGGGGTGTCCAAGAGGGGGGGGGGGGGGGGCAAATCATGACCGGCGTCATGTGCGCGGCCCAGCGGGGGGGCCAGGGACGTAATGGAATAAGAAGAGGCGCCGCGAAATCTGTGGAGATATCATGGCCCACGCCATGACATCCACCCCCCCACTAGTCATCACCCCCCTCTTTTCCGCCCCCGACTAATCCGGCTCGACTGTAGACCCCCGGGGCCGCGGATCTGCAAAACAGCCGCACCCCGTCGGACGCCGGGTGCTGCTGGGCGGAGGCGGGGCCCGGGGGAAGGCCGCCTGCCAGCGCACGGGGAGCACAGCCAGCCACAGTCACGGCTGCCGTCGCCCCGGGGGGCGGCGCCGTCACGGCGGGCAGCGGGCAGGCGTGCGAGGCACGCTGGCCCTCAACGAGGACCTGTCGTTCACAGCGTGGGGCAGCAACAGGAGCACAGAGCGGCGTAAACATAACCTCTCGGAGGTCCGCACAATTCTCTGGGATCTGCGCTGTGCCCCCCCCTTCCCTGGCGCGAGGAGCGCGCTTGGGGTGGCGCCGGAGGCGCCGCCCGGGGGGGGGGGTCCAGCGCAGATCCAAGAAATCCGCGGGGAGCTTCCGCAGTTTATGGTTGTGCAGTTTCGTCTTCTTCGAGGAAGAGGAGGAGGAGGAGGAGGAGGAGGAGGAGGAGGAGGAGGAGGAGGAGGAGGGTCGACATCCCCAGAATATTATAAACCAGGGTTTATAATGTTCCGGGGGGAACATTATGAACCCCAGTCAATATTCCCAGGACATTTAAACCCAGGTTCATAATGTTCCGAGCGAGACGCTATGAACCCTGGTCAATTCGCCGGCCCAACGGGCCAGGGCGTGCTAAGATCTCCGGTACCTGGTTAACAGTATTTCTAGTTCGCGCGCGCGGGGCGGCCCCTGGGGGTCCCCGGACGAAAAGTACCCCGGCAAGGTCCCGGCAAGTCCCCGGCAAGGTCGGGCCAGAGATGCCGGAGCCATGTTACAGGGCCCCAGGACGGGCCAAGAGGTCCCCAAGAAGCCTCCAAGACGGTCCAAGAGGGCCCCGAGACGGCCAAAGATCGCCCGAAGACGCCCAACAGGGCCCCAAGACAGCCCAAGAGGCCTCCAAAACGCCCCAAGGGCCTTCCAAGAGGCCTCCGAAGAGGGCCCCAAGAGGCCAAAATCGTGGATTTTCATTGTTTTTTTCTATGTTTTTTGCGTTCTGGCTTTTTCGGCTTCCGGACGCTCCAAGACGGCCCAAGAGGCCCCCAAGACCGCTCCAAGACGGCCCACGAGGCTCCCAAGACGGCCCCGGAACGGCCCAGGAGGGCCCCCAAGACGGCCCAAGCGCCGCCCAAGACGGACCAAGAGGCCCCAAGACGGGCCCAAGAGGGGCTCAGAGGGGAACCGAGAACTGAAAAATCGAGCCCTCCGCCCCAGAAGGCGCCCAGGAGGGCCCAAAAAGGCCCCAAGAGGCCCCCAAGAGGCCCCCAAGACGCCCCAAGAGGCGCCCAAGAGGCCCAAAAGAGGCCCCAAGAGGCCCCAAAACGGCCCCCAAGAGGCCCCAAAACTCGGCTAGCCCACAACGGTGCGACAATATGGGCCGGCGGAATGAGCGAAGCGATTAATAATCCCAGAGAACAATAAACCCAGATTAATATCTTTTTGAGGTCCATCCTGGACCCGAGTGTAGCTGATGACGCTGGCCTCAACTTCACTCCGTGGCTGGCCACCGCTGTCCTTCGCGCTTGCCCTGATCCCTGCGCTGTAGCGGCTAAGATCGAGCTCCTGATTCGCCTTCCGCATCTCGATGAGTTGCGGCTGAGAGGACTGCATATTGCGCAGGTGCCGCTCCACTTCGTCTCTCGCTTCGATCGCAGCGCTGTAGCTGTCGTCGTCGCTGTGTGTCCCTACCCTTGAGGCAGGGTCCCCCTGGGGGAGGGGGGAGCTCGGGGCTTCCTGGGATGTCTCGTCACGTCCAGCACCTGGTCCCAGCACTGTAGCTGATGACGGTGGGTCCTGGCGCGGGGCCCAGATCGTCACCTTCCAAGGCTCCCCGTCGAGGGACAGGATGGTGTCGCACCTGAGCCCTATGGAGCCTTCTTAATGCAAGGGTGGGGGTGGCGGGGCGCGAGGGGACGGAGGGGAGAAGAAAGGGGGGGAAGACATCGCCGGGCTCTTGATGGCTCCAGGAGCAAGATTTTTTCACCGCGACGATTCCTTGCCAGCAAATGTTCTACTGACCATGGCGAGGGAAGGAACTGAGCATCCCCCTCACCCCTCCCTCTTGTCAGACGCAAGACGCATCAACGATGTTGTAATAAACCCTCCCTCCAAATTCCAATTCATAGGTCCCTACAAGAATGTACCTTCATTGCGGGAAATGCCCCATTGGAACGCAACCGTCCGAGAATTCGCAGTCGCCCCGAATTAGCGTAACTGTTGTTTCCTGACGGCCCAAAATCGTACCAAAGCACCGTTCCCAGGACATCGACACCGCGAATCAACGTGACGCCTGCGCACTGACAATCCCAAGTCGTGCAAGAACACCACTCCTGGGATTCCAACACTGCTAAAAAGAGCTAAGACGAATACGAGCGGCGCTGAGGCGAGAGCAACATTTTGAAAAGAACCCGCCCTCCATCCATGAAACTGCTGCAAACTGAAAGCTTCAGGGTGGTAAATGCTAGCCAGCGTGGAACCCAAACAGCGACTACTGCAGTATATTCGGCGCAATCTAGGTGGTGCAATCAGTGTGGTGCAACCTGGGTGGTGCAATCCATGTGGTGCAAAATGTGTGGCACGAAGCAATTCTTAGCAATGCAAAGCAATGGATAGCAATGCAAAGCAATTCAAATCCATACAAATCAATGCAATACAATGCTGTACAAAGCAATGCAATGCAATGCAATGCAATGCAATGCAATGCAAAGCAGCCCGAAGCAATGCAAAGCAAAGAAGCCCGAAGCAATGCAAAGCAATGATGAGCAATGCAGAGCAATGCAAAGCAGTGCAAAGCGATGTCAAGGAAGGTAATGGCATGACATAAAATTGCAGCGCAGTGCGATGCAGAGCGATGCAGCGCAATGCGGATGCAATGCAACGCACTGCGATGGCAACGCAAGGCGACTGCAGTGCAACGAGAGGGGGACACAACAGGGCGGCGGCGACGGGAGGGAACGGGGCCGCCTGTTGGAACAAGAGTGGTGCGACGACGGACGGGAACGGGGCCGCCGGGGCCGCACCCGAGCCCCGTTCCTTCGCAGAGGAGCAAAGAGCCCCTGCACGCCAGCACCGTCTGGGGAATGGCGAGGGGGTCTCCGGCGAAACGCTCAGCCCGCCCTACCGACGCGTCTGGGGGCGCGACAGGGAAGAGCTCGTCATAAGAGAACGGATGGAGGAGAGAGGAGGAGGAAGAGGAGGAGGAGGGGGACGAGGAGGAGGAGGAGAAGGAGTGGGCCCTCCGAGGGCGCGGCCCGAAGGGTCCCCACGAGCTCCCTCGTGTGCTCCTCGAGGCGCACGCGGCAGTCCCCGAGTACCTCCAGGCACACACGCCGCCGTCGTCGTCCACCGCCTGCTTCTCCTGCTCCCCCTCCCCCTCCTCCTCCTCCTCCTCCCTCCTCCTCCTCAATCCTCCTCCTCCTCCTCCTGCACCTCCTCCTCCTCCTCCTCCTCCACCTTCCCTCCACCTCCTCCTCCTCCTCCACCTCCTCTCCTGCTCCTCCTCCTCCTCCTCCACCTCCTTCTCTTCCTCCTCCTCCTCCTTCTCCTCCTCCTGCTCCAGCTCCTCCCCCTCCTCCTGGGATCAAGAAGCTTTTCTCGGATAAGTCTAGCTCCTGGGGCAAGCACCACCAGAGATGCGAGTTGTGCAAGGGCAGCCCTGAGACCCTGTGGCACCGCCAGTACGCGTGCACTGCTCACGCTGCCCTTCGGCGTGATCATGTCGGGGAGCGCCTTGAAAAGATGGCTAGGCGCGTGAAGCTGTTCGGTTGTGCCATGGCGGAGCGGCTCGCGCGAGGAGCCTTTCCCGACGTCAGGTCTTTGTTCAGCATCGTGCCCGAGAAGGGGCAAGCTATCTGGCATGATCGCCCCGAGTCGGGGGTCCTGTCGAGGTTGCTCTTCCTGGATGGGTCGGCAAAGTTCACGGGCCTCGACGGGCTCGCCAGGGCCGGCTGGGCTATCGCTGCGGTCGACAACCTGTGGGAGGTCAGACATGCGGTGTTCGGTCCAGGACCTACGAGCACGGCCCCCGCCCAGACAAGGAAAGATGGGGAGGACTATGCGGTGCATATGCTCACGCAGCATGGTCTTACCCCGTTTCAGGCTGCCAGTCTACGACCCTGAGTTCTCCACAGGCCCCGGGGCCCTCAGGGGGCATCCTTGGGGGGCCCTTCTGGGGCTCTTTCCAGCCTGAAAGCTTCGAGATTCCATAGCGAAGGCGCACGCCTGGGAGAGGAAGGCCAATGATGCGGCCGACCGCCTGGCGAAGGTTGGCGCAGATCAGCACGGGGTGACAGAAGAGCACGCCCACCTGTTTCGCGGGCTCCGCAGCCTGGCGCTCGAGGCGGGGCGCCGGCCTGGCACGCTCGAGGTCCACCTCCTCCCCTGCTCTTCTCCTCCTCCTCTCCTGCTCTTCTCCTCCTCCTCCTCCTCCTCCTCCTCCTCCTCCTCCTCCTTCTCCTCCTTCTCCTCCTGCTCCTCATCCTCCTCCCTGTCTCTGCTCTAGATATCTGTTGTGTTCGTCGCCTGGCGCTCGAGGCGGGGCGCCGGCCTGGCACGCTCGAGGACCACCCGTCGCGCCAGGATGTGCGCGCGGCACGGCCGGACGTCCTGCCGAGGCAGCGGCGCCCCCGCGGGGCCCCGCCCGAGGGCTCCGACCGGGTGCTGGCCGAGGGCTCGCGTCCACGGGATGTCTCGGGGGGGCGGGCTGACTACCTACCAGACCACCCCAACCCAACCCGAAGACCCGAATTTCGGGTTGGGGGGGGTATGGGCTCCATGTGTGTTGTTTCGATGTTCCCGGACCCCCCCCCACTAGAAATCGAGGGTAAATCTGAGCCTTCGGGTTGGGTTGGGGTGGTTTGGTGGGTGGTGACGGGCGGGGTCTCGACTTGGGGGACAGGTGTGAGGAGCACCCTCGCTATGTTTGCAGGTGCCGAGGGCATGCTCTTTTTCTCCCTGTGCTTGCCCCGACGTCTCCGAGGCCTGGCGGGCGCGTGCCTCGGGCCCTCAAGAAGGGCACCGGGGGCCCCTCCGACCAGCTCCGCAGAGCTCGTCTGGGCAAGCTCCCGTCCTGTAGGCATGGCAAGGAATAGGGAAACGAGCTCTATACACCGACGCTTTTCCCGACTCAGGAAGTCATGGGATTCAAGAAACAGCCCGCCACTGGTAATGTATACGTTCCAGTTTCCGAAGACAGGCCTGGTGCTGGGGGCCTCCGGGGGCCTCCGCCTCGCCGAGCGGAAGGACTTGGCCGAGACGCCGGGAGGGGGTCGCCGGCCCCTCTTCTGGTCTCGCGGGACCTGGGGCTGCCTGCGAAGTCGTCTCTCCCCGGGCGTTCGCCCCACGAGAGCAGGTCCTGGGCCGATTCGGCTTGGCTGATGAGGGCCTCCCCTGGGTGAAGGCTCGGGGGGAGGCGTCAGCTCGACCTTCGGCCCCGCTTGGGGAGGAGTCGGATGCAGACGCGCCTGATGCTGTTTGATCTTGGATCACCCTCGCTTTAGGCCCGTCCCCAACAACAACAACAACAACAACAACAACAACAGCAGCAACAACAACAACAACAACAACAACAACAACAACAACAACAACAACAACAACAACAACAACAACAACAACCACAACCACAGCCACAACCACAACCACAACAACAACAACAACAACCACAACAACAACAACAACAACAACAACAACAACAACAACAACAACTACAACAGCAACAACAGCAACAACAACAACGACAACTTCCTCCTCCTCATTCTCCTCTTCCTGTTCCTCCTTCTCTTTGTTTCCTCATCATATGTATCCTCCTCCTCCTCCTCCTCCTCATCATCATCATCATCATCATCATCATCATCATCATCATCATCATCATCATCATCCTCTTCCTCCTCCTTGCTCCAGGATGGTCCCAGGAGGTCGAGCATGGCTCAAGATAGCCTCAGATAAACCTCCAAGATGCATCACGACAGCCTCAAGATGGTCCAAGATGGCTGAGCATTCCCCCGACAGCCTCTAGCCGAACATGGCTCGAGATAGCTTCCAAGAGGCCCCAAGAAAGCATCCGATCGGATCTGGATGGGCTGGGGGAGATGCGCGAGGCATGGAGAATTTCTAGACCCACGTTGAGTACGCTCAGGATACGCTGCAACATCTGGATAACCCGCGCCGCCATATATCTCGCCATGAAGGTTACCTGATCATGATGATGGCGCGGCCGATCACGAAGATGTGAATTCATGGGGTGGGTTCGAACGCGGTATCACTGTCCAAGATTATGTTCCCTGGCTGCCCCTGAACCAGGCTGGGTGGCAACCCCTTTTTTTTCCTGGACACTGCCCTCAACACGTGCGACGACATCTACTGCACTGTGATCGGATATGCACCAATACCGCCGACGCATGCCCAGATGATTCCCCATAGCTCCACATAATGTCTCTTCGGTGATGGTGTGTCATCCCTCCCCGCCTTCCACCCGTCATACACGATCTTACAATATGTGACGACCGTGATCTGGGCTCCCATGAGGTGCAAGGCCGTGTGAAAGACGTTCAGCTCAGAGCTAGGAGCGTCCTGCGCTGGCAACGGGGAGGGGCTGTACACAACACATTATACCTGCATGCCGTCGGTGATCGAACCGACTGGCCACCCAGCACGCACAAGCCAGTTACAGCCTGCATCGTAGGCCGAGCCCTCTGTGCAGACCACCAAGAACCCTAGACCACGTTCTCGTGGCCGCACGACCCATCCATACTTTGCCCCTGGGAAGATATTTGACAGGTGTGCCCTGGTAGGGTCAACGAGGCCTCTGGTCTACTTCAGGTTAATCGGGGACCTTCTAGCTTCTTCTACTAGACCACTAGAATCAGGATCTTTGCGCAGCAAGCTGGATCCATCGCCCTTCCAGATCCTATGGGACGAGGTCCCCCTGTCCTCCTGGCACCATTGGCGCCTGTTGTCCGCCGAACGCCGTGTGTGGAAAACACACGAGTGCGTCCGAAGGTCCCCAAAAAGCTGCGCCAGAACCAGAATAACCTCAAGATGATTCCCAACGCCTCTTAGTCTAGCGAGTCCAGCACGAAGGAATTCCACATGGCTCCCAAGACACATTGTAATAAGCACCAGCTCGTATCATCAGCGGCCGCTTGGTCGCTTCACACACTAGGGGGGGAACAGTCATGGACCATATGCATCTTACTCTTCCTCCTCCTCCTCCTCCTCCTCCTCCTCATCATCATGTTCCTCCTCCTCCTCCTCTGCCTATTCCTCCTCAGTATCTTCCTCCTCCCCCTCCTCCTCCTCCTCTTCAGCAGCCTCCTCCTCCTCCTCCTCGTCCTCCGCCTCCTCCTCCTCCTCCTCCGCCTCCTCATCCTACCCCACCCCTCAACTTCATCCACATCCTCATGCCCTTCCTCCGTCTCCTCATCCACCTCGTCGCCTCGTCCTCCTCCTCCTCCTCCTCCTCCTCCTCCTCCTCCGCCTCCACTTCCCATTCCTCTCCTCTCCTCCTCCTCCTCCTCCTCTTCCTCCTCCTCCTCCTCCTCCTCTTCCTCCTCCTCCTCCTCCTCCTCCTCGTCATCCGCTTCGTCCGCCGCATTGGCCTCCTGCTCCTCCTCTGCATCCTCCTCCTCCGCCTTCTCCTCCTCCCCCTCATCGTCGCCCACATCCCCATCCTCTTCCTCCCCCATCCTCTTCCACCACATCTCCACCCTCCTCCACCTCCTCCTCCTCCGCCACGTCCTCCTCCTCCTCGTCTTCCTCCTCCTGACGCTGAGCTCCCTCCCCTTCCCGTCCTCCTCGTCCTTCTCACCCTCCTCATCATGTTCCTCCTCCTCCTCCGCGTCCTCATGCTCCTTCTCGTCATCATCATCATCATCATCATCATCATCATCATCATCATCATCATCATCATCATCATCAGCATCATCATCATCATCATCATCATCATCAGCATCATCATCATCATCATCATCATCATCATCATCATCATCATCATCATAATCAGCAGCAGCAGCAGCAGCACATCATCATCACCATCATCATCATCATCATCATCATCAGCATCATCATCATCATCATCAGCATCATCAGCAGCAGCACCATCGTCATCATCAGCATCATCCGCATCATCGTCAGCATCCAGATCACCATCATCAGCAGCATCAACACCATCATCCTCACTATCGGCGCCCGCAGCATCATCATCATCATCATCACCATCATCATCATCAGCATCATCATCAGCATCATCATCATCATCAGCATCAGCATCATCATCATCATCAGCAGCAGCATCATCATCAACATCATCATCAGCATCATCGTCATCAGCATCATCAGCCTCACCATCATCAGCACCATCAACATCATCGTCACCATCAACATCATCATCACTACCAGCCGCATAATCAGCACTATCAGCATCATTATCATCAGCCTCAACAGCATCGTCATCATCAACACCGCCATCAGCATCATCATCAGCACCATCAGCAGCAGCACCATCATCATATGCCATCACAGTTATCATCAGCATCATCATTATCGTCATCAGCATCATCTTCAGCATATGATCGTCACTATCAGCAGCAGCATCACCAAGAGCACCACAATTACAGTAGTATCAGCACTGTCAGCATCAGCATCTTCATCAGCATCATCATCCTCATCCTCATCATTATCAGTATCAGTATCAGCACCATCACCATCATCATCATCAACAGCATCATCATTACCATCCTCATCCTCATCAGCAACATCATCATCAGCAACAGCAGCGGCATCACCATCGTCTTCAGACGCATCAACAACAACAACAACAACAACAACAACATCATCATCAGCAGCATCAGCATCACCAGCAGCAGCATCACCAGCATCACCATCAGCAGCATCATAAGCATTATCAGCAGAGCATTATCATCATCACCAGCATCAGCATCATCATCATTATCAGCAGCAGCAGCTTCATCCATATCAGCAGCAGCCACTGCATCATCAGCACCATAAACAGCATCATTATAAACAGCAGCACTATCATCATCAGCACCATCAGCATCATCAGCATCATCATCAGCAACAGCATCATCGTCAGCATCATCATCAGAAGCAGCACCAGCAGCATGGTCATCAGCATCATCATCAGCAGCATCGTCAACATCTCCTCGCTCGAAACTCCTCTTCCTGCACAATATCCAAAGGCTCGTCCTGCTTCTCCTCCTCCTGCTCCTCCTCCTCCTCCTCCTCCTCTACTTGCCCCTCTTATTCCTGCGCACACCTCCTCCTCCTCCTCCTCCTCCTCCTCCTCCTCCTCCTCCTCCTCCTCCTCCTCCTCCTCCTCCGTCTCCTCCTTTTCATCCTCCTCCTCCTCATCATCGTCATCATCAGCATCATCAACAACATCATCATCACCATCAGCATCATCATCATCACCACCACCACCACCATCATCATCATCACCATCCTCATCCTCATCCTCATCCTCATCCTCATCCTCCTCCTCCTCCTCCTCCTCCTCCTCCTCCTCCTCCTCCTCCTGCTGCTTGTCCGCCTCCCCCTCCCCCTCCTCCTCCTGCCGCCGCTGCGGACGACTCTGCTCTCACCCGGGAGCGGCGCTCCCACCGCGGAGGGGGAGGGAGGGAGGGCGCGGAGTGGAGACGACACGAGGAGGAGGGAGGAGGAGGAGAAGCAGGGAGGAGGGAGGAAGAGGAAGAGGAAGAGGAGGAAGAAGCGAGGGGGAAGAGGAGGCGAGGAAGGGCGAGGAGCGAGGAGCGCGGAGGAGCGGCGGGGAAGACGGAGGAGAGGCGGGGAACGGCAGGAGGGGGGAGAGAGAGGAGCCGGCGAGGCCCCGGAAGGCCCCGGAGCTCCCCCGGGGAGGGCCGAGGGGGCGAGGCGAGGGGGCGGGGCGAGGGGCCGCGGAGGGGGGGGCGGCGGCGGAGCGGGGGCGCCTCGCACAGGAGCGCGAGCAGGGCGGCCTCGGACGGGGAGGGAAGGAGGAGGGAAGGAGGAGGGAGGGAGGGGAGGGGAGGACGGGGGAGGAGGATGAGGGAGGAGGGAGGAGGGAGGGAGGATGAGGGGAGGAGGATGAGGGAGGAGGGAGGAGGGAGGGAGGAGGATGAGGGAGGAGGAGGAGGGAGGAGGGAGGAGGGAGGGAAGGAGGAGGGAGGGGCAGGAGGGAGGGGAGGGAGAGGCAAGCTAGGTGCGCTCGCGTCATATCTGGCATCCTGCCCCTCCCTCCCATCCCTGACCATGGCGCAGATCCCCTCTCTACTCGCACAGTCGGATGTCGAGCAGGGCAATGATCCCGAAAGGGTACGCGATGCATTGTAGAGCACGGCATGGCATGGCGTAGGAGAGCACCGCAAAGCGTAGCATCAGCCTAGCATTGCATTGCATGCCGTGGCATGGCACGGGAAATGACGCCAGCGCTGCAGCCGGAGCACGAGTTGGAACGAGCGGAAGCGCGGAAATGAGGCCAGCGATGCAGCGGGAGCACGATTCGGAACGAGCGGAAGCACGGAAATGAGGCCAAAGCTGCAGCGGGAGCACGATTCGGAACGAGCGGGGCCCGAAAATGAGGCCCGCGCCTCAGCGAGAGCAGCATTTGGGAAAAAAATGCAGGCGAAAACCCAACTCCGGGGAATCCTGTGTAAAAAAACCGTACGCGGGGGGGGGGGGGGCTAACACTTTCAAGCCGTCATCAGGGGAAGAGGGAGAGTAGTATTCATATTGAGTAAGGGGGGGGAGGAGAGGGGGAGGAGAGGGAGAGAGGGAGGTGGGAGGAGAGGGGGAGGGAGAGAGGGGGGAAGGGAGGGAAGGAGGAGGGAGGAGGGACGGAGGGGGGGGAGGGGGGGGGGGGGGGGGGAGGAGAAGGTAGGGAGGAAGGGAGGGAAGGGAGGGAGGGAGGGAGGATGGGAGAGAGGTAGGAAAAGAGAAATGCCGCGATGCTGCGATACTGCGTTGGCCTCCCGCGCGCCCCGAAGGGGCAGGAGGTCCCAAGGAAAGGCGGCAGACGACACTGAAACCGCCAAGTCGAGCGACGACGGCGGGACGGCGCGACCGACGAACGAACGCGGCGACGCGAGCGACACGACGAAGGCCGAGGGAGGGAGGAAGAGGAGGACCAGAGTAAACCCAGGAAGCATCAACGATGCTGCAGTGCAC